AGTGCCAAAATAACTACCCATGGAATATACTAACACATAGTCAAAGTTTTTAAGTGAATGATGGCTTATAGAACCCGGAGGTAGTAAATATTTAGAGAGAAGTTAGAGCAAATATAGAGTGAGAAAACAGTCTAATAAATTTGGTAGAATAGAAGTATAAAAAATTTAGTCATTTTCCCAAAGGAGAAAATGGCTATTTATAGGCAAAAGTGCAAGGTCTGGACCTTTAGCCCAAATGCTCGCTAATGAGATGACTAGTGTCCCTGACAAGTGTCCCTTGGATACTTGGGAAACACAAGGTAGGCTGACATCATGTGGGGTGATGTCAGTCCAAGGGAACTGTCATTATGTCATTGATGATACAACCCTTCAAAATCTAGGCCTATAACATCAATAACAATGGTTGTGATGCAAGCCTCGGATAAATGCATGTATAGAGTGCTTGTGAATGGCTAAGTATAGAAACTGTAATTGAGTTGAGGCGTATCATGTCAGCACAACCTCGTTTGGTAGCGTTAGTGCGGAATTCTAGGGCAGTATCATCAGGTCGGCCCCACATGAATAGCTTTCCCTAGAACAGAATGGGCTCGCAAGGAGTTGGATTTATGATGAGATCTCGGCCTCAAGGCAGGGGCTTCGCCTACTGTGTAGACGACTTAGATTACTATCTTGGACTACTATCTTGTGTGGACCCTTAGGGGATAGGGATAAAGGTCAAATTGAACACTATGGTTACATGAGAATCTCATATTGACCACTATGATTTCAAATGGACTAAATCAGACACTATAATTACGTATTAATCTCATATTAGCCACCAAGGTTTCATAATCCATAGTTTTTGGACACTCACGATTCTCTTCTTCCTTTAATAAAAATTGTTAGTCTTAATTTTTCTATTTTCGGTGAAAATAAATTAAATGAATTGATGTTTATATTTTTGGAATATTCAATTTGAGGTTTTAGAATATATAATTTGATTTTTATAAACAACTTCTTATATTTAACAAGTTAAAAATATATTTCTCACTTTTCATTCATATGATATTTATGAAACTTTGGGAAATATTATTGATTTAACAATATTAAAGAATTCAATTACATTATAATAGATTTTCATAATTGGAACATCTAATTATATATTCTAAATCTAAATACATGTATTAAGCCATTTTTATTTTTAGATACATAAAACAAAGAAAGAAAGGAATACTTATAGCTTTCAAATGTCAAAAATCTTTGATGAGTCATTTAATTTATTATATGCAAATGAAATAATATTGTTGATATATATATTATATGTGTGTGTGTATGTATGTATCCTATACTATACACTTTGATCTGTCTGGGATAATAATATAAATGGCACCATAACCAATTATATTGGTGCATTTTTTGTACCCAACCATTAAATGAAGCAATTAAGTACCCTAATTATATTGATATGTTTGAGTTCATAGTGCCATTTGAATTCTTTGACATAATTGTCTAAGCTCCACATACTTTTTCTCGAAAATTTATATGTAATTATAAACTAATGAACTAATATCATAGTTGGGAACATTGTTCTAAAAATCGCTCTAGGTGTCCGACTAGTCCCCGCCTAGGCGCTAGGCGGTGGCCGAACGCCCCGATTTTAGTCTAGGCGCTCCGACTAATTGATTTGACGCCTAGGTGAATTAGTGTGCCACCTAAGGCGCCTAAGCTAGTTGCCCGTCAAGAGCGCTTAATCGGCCGCCTAGGCGTCTAGATTCGTCGAACATTTTATTTAAGCTCTTAGAAATATTTATACCCTATGTAGCACCCATACAGGTACGCGGAAACGTGGAAACGCGGAAACACGGAAAAGGGTATGGGGTTACGACAAAACAAAAAAAGTAGGATACGGATACGGGGCCATATTTATAAATATTAAAAGTAATGAGGTGTGTTTATAAATATTAAAAGTTACATGGGTGTATTTATAAATATTAAAAATATATTTTTTGAAAAAATTTGACATATATTATCCTCTGACGTCTACTCATTCATGACATTGAAGCATTTTACATTTTACATTTTGAAGATACTTTGAAATAAGTTCATATTTTATCTCATATGCATTAGTGCACCTTGAAATATAAATATAGTCAATAAGTCATTAATCTAAAATGAGAAATAACTCAAACAACCATACTTTTGAAATTAAAAGTGCAAGTACTCAAAGTTCTAGAATAATGAAGATAGAAAACAATATTTTAAAAGTTCTAATACATATTTTTGTTGCAGCTATTAATTTCGAGGAACAATTAGAATTAGGGATAGGAGAATGAGTGAATTAGGATTAAGTCCATTAGTTGTGTACCACATAAAAGCAAGGTAAACAATATTTTTAGCTTTTCATTTTTTAAGAATTTATTATGTAAATTTTGAGTGTCTTTTTAAAAAGTTTTGTTTTGGAAGTTTTTTTTAAAGTTGATACAGGTATCCGTCAGGATACGAGTATCCGAAACTTTAAAATAATTACCAAAAAATGGAAACTTTTAAAAATTGCAGATACGGCCCGGAAACGTACGGTAACAGATATCTTAGAGTATCAGATACGGGAACGTTTCCGATACGCCGACACGGCACCCAAGTGAAGTATCCGTGCTTCATAGTTTATACCCTTAATTTTAACAACGTATATGAAGAAAGCTATTAGGTGCAGATTATGATAAAAACTTGAGTGTTATTATTATCTAATACTCCCTCCGTCCTACTAACAATGGGATAAGAGGGAGTGTCACACAAATTAATAAAAAATGGTGTATGTGGTTGTCTGGTTGATATTGAATTGATACCGTAAGAATAAAGTAAGAATGATTTAGAGCCACACAAACTTTACCAAATTTGGTATGAGACAATCTTAGTGGGACGGAGCGAAAAGGTAAAATGGGACAATCTTAGCGGGACGGATGTAGTAATATAACTTTTTGTTTTGTTTTGTTTTGGAAAAGAAGATTTTATTCATAACAATAAAAGTACAATGCAAGAAGCAAAATAAAAGTAAAAAAGTACAGAGAAGAAGAATGCAGAGCAAAAAGACACAAATTAGACCCGAAAATCTCTAGACTGCGATCTAGTCTTCATGCCATGTTGACTTTTGTTTTGCTGAGATTTCATATAAAGTTTGATTTGTATGTTCAGGTTGTCTATTGGCAGACAGATTTCTGAGGTGATGAACTTTGATTTACGGTAAATCCTTCTGTTGAATTTGTAGTTCCCAATTTCTTCTCGGTTTGATATAGGAGGTCGACGATCGCTCTCGGTTGCATGTCCTAGAAAATCGTCTGAGAAGAAAGACTCATCGGAATGGTCAAAGCTGTCCGAGGCATCAGAATATGCCCGAATAAGTGGAATTTGTGGTTGTTCCTCAAAAGAGAGAGGCTCTTGCTTCTCGACATATGCTCTCTGCGCTTCATAGTTAAAAATTAGCTTGGAAATTGTTGTTTCTTCAGGGTCAGCTGCCTACACATGCTCTAAATGCGTGAGATCCTCCTGCACCGAAGTAGTCAATCCCACTATATTAGAAAAAACCGCCAAGAAAGCTTTTAGGTTGGAATACCCTGCGCCCATGTGGAACAGAATAAAGATCCCTTTTTCTTTAACAACTTTCAAGTATCGGCCTGCTTTGTTGAAATCTGAGGTGACCGTGATTTCACCAAATCTCCTGCTCTGCCTAGAATTGAAATTTGAGATTTGGTTGATAAATCTGCAGATATGGGGCGCTAACTCTGAGCTGAAATTAATCCTGAATAGCGAGCATTTTTTAATTTGGAAAATGTCAATTTTTCCGTTGCTGACAGCAAATCTGAAGAGCGTAGATCCAATTTTGATAGAATCAAAACCATTTCTACAAAGAATTTGAATTTCTCTGCATATTTGGATAAAGCATTTCGATTTCCGTGAATTAATTCTGCCTGTAGTTTGATTGTGTCAAACCCTTCTTCTACGAAAAAATTGAAATGTTCAGATTCGATTTCAGATGCTGCTTGGAATTTTCCGGAGAGAGATTGAATTTACTTGCTTTTCTTGCCTTGAGTGAGCTTATCTTTCGGACATGTAGTTGTAAGAGCAGCGGCCGTGTCATTAGTGTACGTCTGCCCATGTGTAGATTTGTCGCTCTTGGATTTAATCAAGTCAGCCCATGTTTGGTATATTCAAATATATTCAAATTTTAATTATTTTCATAATTTAGCTTTAATGTTGTTTTAATGTATATTGGAATACACGAATATTCAAATTTGAAAATCTTAAATTATAAAAATAATTAAAATTTCAATGTATGGTTTGTCCCTTTTACCTCATTTTCATAGTACCAAACAAAATAAATGAACAGAGAACTCTAAAATAAACGATTTTGACCGGGCAAAATGAAGAATATCTATGCTAAGATAAGCAAAATATGTGCTTGTTTTTGTACATAGATACTCCGTATTATGTTATTAACATTTTTACATTGAATATATTTATTAATAAGGAGTAGTACACATAGTATGAATATGCATACAAACATATATATCTATATTCCTTATAATTTGAATTTATAGAAATATTGCCGGGATATAATATCATAGTTTTGTATTCATATTCAAAAACCATTCAAATACGAAAAGATTTGTAATCATATTCATAATTATTTACACGAATTCACATTTATGAATTTAAATCACCAATCAAATCAAAATTATTCAATTGTCAAGAAGTCGGGGACCTTTGGTGGAATGTAACAAGTCCACATCACTACAACGGCTATGGCTAAATGTTGTAGGTCCAATAGAATAAGTCCACATCACTCAGCTCAACGGTACAGCCATTTACACGTGTCCAGACCAGTTTTGTTCTTTAACGAGCCCACATCACTCACGGGCTCACAGCCCATCAATTTTTCCCCGGCGTTGAAAAGCACGTGCGACTGAGCGAGCGTGCGACTCCGCCCACCTCATCACCCACACAGATAAGACCACCCCTACCCCACCCCCTACCTTCCTCCCTTCCTCCCCCTTTCATTTCTCTCCCTGTAAAAACTATGGCGTTTCGTTCAGTCCCCCCTTCTAGTCTCTTCACTTCAACAGCTACAGTTATTCATAAAATTTCAAATTCATCTTTCACTAACTCTTCCGCCGCGCTTTGTTGTTCCCTGTCTACGGCAGAGACTGTTTCCGCGAAGCATGGTAGGAGATTCCGCTCCGCCGTCTTCTGCGCAGTAACGGCCAGAGGGAGAGTTATGGCTGAAACACTGAAGGAGAAGAAGCTATCTAGTACTGCGGCAGCTGCGGCTTCCCCTGCCGTTTCTCCTTTCGGAAGCCATAAGCGTCTGTACAACTTCTTAGATGCTCTTACCGAAGAAGGTACGCCTGTTTCTGCTTCCAGTTCAATGTCGTTTTCGTATAACGTCTTAAATGCTCCATCAATATCATTAATAACTATGTTATACGGTGCTATGTACTTTTATTCATGGGTTGACTTATATATGCTTTCATTGTTTCTGCTTGTGTTTTGTTGTTATAGATTTATAGCTTACATTTATCCAGTTCAACGTGGACAGTAAAAGTATCCATGAACTGTAAAAATTGAATCGACATCTTTATTAAATAAATGAGTGCTCTCTGCTCAGCCAGGCATTTATTACAACAACAACATCAAAGCCTTAGTCCCAAAAGAGTTTGGGTAGTCCCAAAAGAGCTGTATTTAATTTTCTAAATAATGAGAAGACTGGAATTCTTGATGGTTTCTATGCAATCCTTGTATTCATCAAGTTACCTTTACAGGATTTCACAAGTGTATTACTTGTTTTAAAGGGTCAACTACATCAATAGATGTGTTAGTGTAATTTTTTTGATGGATAGCATGTAGCAGTTTGGATAAAAATTGATTATCCTTTGAAGCAAGGAAGCAAGTAGTAAGAGAGTGTCAATCATTCAACTAAGTTCTTAATATTTTGTTTGATTTTTATGTTCCCAATTAGACTAGTCGTCTAGATGTTAAGAAGTTTGGGGAAGTGGAATAATTTCTTGTGTCTTTCTTTGTGGACAATCAGGAATTTGAGTAATCTACAATAGATTCATTGATCATTATTTTGAAGATAAACTTGAATGTTACTAGTAGATAAATGATTCTTTACATTATCTTTCCTTCTTGACTTTGTTCAGTATATAGGGGTAATTTAAAGGCATAACATGTAAAAAATACATGGTTCCTTGTCAAAATTGAGGGTGATGATGATGATGGGGGTAGTGATAAAGTAAAATTTAGTAGTAGAAAAGTTGCTAGAGAGCCGGCTATTGGATAGTGGCCATCTCTTAGATGTGAACACCCTTCTTGGTTCGGTGCCGTGACTTGTTAAATGTCTTGCATGTAAACAACGTGTCCATGGAACACGCTCTTGGAACGGTTCATCGGACATTTGGCATGAAGAACGATGCAGGTCCACATACAATCTTAGAAGGATAAGTTTTATCATTCCCAAGATTTGTCCTTAATGAAACAAACTCTGATCATTAAATGTTCTCGTGAACCTCACAGCATGGCGTTATGATTTAAGAATTACATCCAGACCATCAAATTTGTATCCATAGCAATTTTCAGAAATGAGAGTAGGAATGCACCATAATGAACAATGGGTTGTCTGAAAATGGAAATATGATACTCTTATTGTTGCCCCAAACTTGCACATGTAATATATATATCCCAAACTCTTAGTGGCCATGTTCATATATTTTTTCACAAATATAACTTTATGGTATTAAGTACTCCATACATGATTTAAAATAATGTACTTAATATAATTAAAATTAAATTGTACTGGATGTAATATTATTTATTTCACAAATGAAATTTTAAAATGTTAAATGCATTCTTACAAAATTAAATAATGTTCGGGGTATATATATTGTTTGGTGCAAAAATAACTTTAGAATATTTGGTGCGAAAATAAATGTCCGCTTACTAAACACTTTTTACGTCTTGAAGTGTTTCTTAATAAGCACCACACCCTCATGTTTAAGCAACATGTTAAACTTTTTCATATTAACAAGTATACCACTCCTTGGACCCCTACCCCTACAGTACCTTGTGAACACCCTACCCCCACTCCTACCCCCTTCCCAACTATCTCCACTGTACCCTAGGAGTAGGATTGGGTCGGGGTAGGGTAGAGAGTGGGTTGTAGGGAGGGTGTTAGTGTAGGGGTTGGATGTCGAGTGGGGGTGTAGGGGTAGCGGTGGTGGTGGTTGGGCCGTTGGGGTCGGAGGTGAGGTAGGGTGGTGATGGTTGGGCCGTTGGGGTAGGGGTGAGGTAGGGATGGTGGTGGTTGGGGTAGGGGTGGGAGTTGTAGGAGGGGGAAATCCTTGAAGGTTATAGCTGACATTTTAAAGTTAATACATGTTTAATAAATGCATCAGTCTCGTGAAGTAAACATCGATTTATTTAGTACCTCTTATTAAACAGCGGTTTAGTAAAACATGTTTTAAATAAACAGCGCTTATGAGCCCGTGATGTAAACATTTCCTAAGGATTCTGTCTCTTATTCTGAATATCTGTGTAGTGTGTGGTCCACCTTGAACTTTCAATTCTTGAATCTGCAGAATCGGGCCATGCTTTTTTATGTGGGGTTGCTTTTCTGAATTCTGAATATCATTGTTGGATTCTATGATTTTCCTGTTATGAACAGCATTTATTGTCTTACAAAATTTCCATTGATTTTAAGGAAAACATGGGATTGATAGAGATCATCAATTGCTACTTCTATAGTTCTATTAATCACTCGATAAAATGTTTCATTGTGCTGCTGTAGCCTATTCAATTGCTAGTTTATTGTATGTAATGTCTTATTTTGTTTTTATTTTGTTTTACTTTATTGCTTCAAGGCACACAAACATATACTCAATCGAAAGTTGTTTCCATTATATCCACCCATCCCATTATTTTCTTCCCACTTTCCCTTTTTGGGATGCCCCAAAAATTTCTTCCTATTTCCTTTTAAGGAGTGGTTTGCATAGTTAGCATTCTCCCCCCTTTTTCTACCTCAGACACAACCATACATTTCACTTTAGTAATAAGCGTGCCAATACAAAGTTGGAAGAAAATATTGGGACAGAGGTAGTATTCACATTTGATTTATTTATTTATTTATTTATTTAAATATTTATTTATTTATTTATTTATGCAGACCTACTTTCTAGTATTCAGAGAGAGGTCGATGACGGAAGGCTTCCACAGAATGTTGCTCGGGGAATGGAGGAACTTTATGAAAATTATCGAGATGCAGTAAACTAATTGTCTTCTGCTCATGGTTTCCTGTACATTTCTTGGGTTACTTTCTTTGTTTTCATATACTGTAGGGTGAATATTAGACATCATATCTCACTCTTGTGGAGTTAGTATGACATTAAGTGGTTGGAGTGGCATTAATTGACTCTCCTAATTTGGAGATGCTTATATTTTTAGTTAGTAGCATAAAGACCAAAGTAATAGCAACGATTTAGAATGCCTGATATTTCCTAATAGTTGAGAACAGTATTATTAATTCCCCGTTATAGTTATTTTGGAGCTGTTTGCTAGCACTTTTTTCGGCGGGGGCAAGTTTTTGAAGTGATTTTTCTTGTTTTGTTTCAAATAAGAACGAAAACCATAAACATCTTGAGTTTCATATTTTTTTTTACTATAAAAGATAGTTTAGCTGCTCATTTTTGAGATTGCGCAAGAGTTGGAAACAGCAGGTGGACCAAAGGAGTTGCATTCACCTGGACAACTGTGGTTAAATAGTAGATTTTGGGTAAAGGGTAAGACGAAGAGTATGTATGTTAGTCAAAAGAGCCTAGTGGGGTAAGATAGAGTGCCCTCATAGTGAGGTTATGTGATGTAGCAATGAGGTAACTTGGGAAAGAGACTGCAATATATTAGTTTTCCACTGGGTTTTTGAGCCCCAACGGAACTGATTAACTGTTACTCTTTGGGCCTTTCTTTTTTAATATCTTAAATGTTTTGATCCTTGTTCCTTTCAAGCCTTCTCCTCCCATGTTTTGTTGGTATCTGGTGGCAAGTTCTCAGTGGATGTGGGGTTGGAATTGTAATCTGTAAGTTGGCCTGTAGGCTGTAGCATTATTACCTTGAAAACTAAAATGAAATCAGAAGCTTGCATATTTTTTGTATGATAATAGCTAGAGCCATATCCGTTTTTGCAAGTTTATTTATAAAATATAATAACATAATCATATTTTTTTGTTTCTTGGATTTGAACTAAAAATGAGAGTATATAAATAATATAATGTTACTAACAGGGTGTTTTGCACTCTCTCCCAACTAATTAGTAAAGTTAATGTACCATATAGTATCAATATGAGACACAAACCATTATATCCTTCACATCAACATTCAAATAATCAAAATCCCAACAAAGACCAAAAGCGGGAACTATTTTTTTTTTTGTTATTGTACAAAAACCTATCAATTTCCAAAATGAGGACTAAAAATGAAAAAAACACTTTCGAATGATAAAGAGGAACTTTTTCCTTCATAAAATAATGTGGTTACAATTATAAAGTCCAAAAAATGAATATGGTCCCGAGTAACTGAATTATTCATATCATGTTGGGAAAAATGCCTGGTTGTTTGAGACTTTCACTTCTATCTGATTATGGAAATGTTACTTTTGTGGATGCTTATTGGCTGATTTATTTGCATGACGTTTGAGGGGAGGATATGATGACTAATTACTTAGTAAGAAAAGTTGGGCAGTTTATATCTCAACCACTTGCATTTTGTATATTGTTACTAGGTTCTCCAAAGTGGACATCCCAATGCAGAAGAGATTGTCCTGTCTAACATGGCTATGGTGTTTGACCGCATTTTCCAAGATGTGAAGGTAGCCACACTACTCATTTTGTTGTGTTACTGCAACTTTTAAGTATCACAATGTTATAGCTTGTATGCCATCACTAACGCCCACCATCCATATTTTACATTGCCTTTCAGGATCCATTTGAATTCTCACCTCATCACAGAGCCATTCGAGAACCATTTGACTACTACATGTTTGTTCAAAATTATATTCGCCCATTGATTGATTTCAGGTTTTTTCCCCTTTGTCTCATAATTTGTTCTGCACTCTAATTTAAACCATCTGGATCCTCCAACTAAATGGATATATTGAGATGGCATAAGTTGGCAATTGTATATTTGACACTGCTCTAGAGTTTTGCTGAATGGGATCCAACAATGGCTGCTTAAATGAAGCATCGGGTTGATTGTGTTAATTGTGGTAATTTGTCAGTTGTATGATTGGAACCAAAATCAATCCCACTCTCTTTGGCCTTCCACATATCCTTAACTTCTTTTAAGGATGTTTTCTTTTGGACTGTTTATAGTCCCAAACCAGATCAGACTAGACCAAACCAGACCAGACCAAACCAACAAATTTCAGTCCAAAAGAAAACATCCTAAATACCAAGTTCCTTGGATGATTGGTTATTTATGAGAGCTCAATGACATTCCACACTTTTTTGTTGAAGTTAAATAGGAACATTGTCCCTTGTAAAATGGTAAAGTTGTGGTTTCTTTCAAAATTCTCCTCCTACCTGATTAAAAATATTTGGGAGGTTTTTTTAGGAGACTAGTTGTGCACACAACTATCCTACCTATGATTTCATTTAGATGCAGCTAATTTTGGCTTGGGCTTTTATCAATTTCGGTATAACTGTATAAAGCTGCTTCTTCAATAGATTATTGTTGTTCTAACCTCTATATCTGACATGCCAGGAGATCATATGTTGGAAATATATCTGTTTTCAACGAAATGGAAGAGAAACTTCAACAGGTGCATCATTCCTGCACCTTGTAACAGCACACATCTTTTTTTTGTTCCCCGAAAAAAATTGATTTTACTCTTCTCTGAACATTTTTCCCCATCAGCGTTTGAACCAGTGTTGGCTTATACTGTTCTTTACTATGAATTATGGTTGCCAAATGAGTATATTCAACTAGGGCAACATCTTATTGGCTAAAAATTGAAATAGGGCAATATCCTTTTAGCTACTGTCTACATCCATAAAATGCTACCTCATAAGACCTTGGATAGTATGTTTGATCCTGATTGGCGGTTGATTTATTTTCTATTATCCTGCTCGAGTTCATATGTAGTCCTTTGTTATTTTGTTGGAACTAAGAACTTCAGTACTCCCTCCGTCCCAAAATGATGGTCCTGTATTTCCTTTTTGGGATGTCCCAAAATGATGGTCTTGTTTCCCTTTTTGGTAAAGAACTAAAAGTGGATTACCATTTATACCCCTCCTTTTTAATGAACAGTAAAAGTAAAAGGATGAACAGTACAATAAAGTAAGGTTCTTTAGTCTTTCTACCACACTTTCTTAATCTTTGTGCCCAAAAGAAACAAGACCATCAAATTGGGACGGAGGGAGTAATATTTTCTTCCAAAAGGAACAATGGCGTAATTACTCTTTATTTTCATGATTTTAGGGTGAGAATGTCATCTTGATTTCTAATCATCAAACGGAAGCTGATCCAGCTGTTATTGCTTTGTTGCTGGAGTCCACACATCCTCATCTTGCTGAGAATATGGTATTCTTTTTTATAAAAAGAGCATACTGCAATAGTAATTAGTAAAGTTCAACGTTGCTAATTTTACATGTCTCTGTATTGTTTGTGCAGATATATGTTGCAGGAGATAGGGTCCTCGTTGACCCCCTTTGCAAACCATTCAGTATGGGGAGGTGCACTTTTTTCACCAGCTTTGATGAAGCTGTGTTCATTCATGTAAATGCTTTCCATTATCAGGTTATTGATGCTCATCTTTACTATGTAGGAATCTACTCTGTGTGTATTCGAAGAAGCATATGTATGATTTTCCTGAACATGTTGAGATGAAAATGAGAGCTAACACAAGAGGTTTAAAAGAGATGGCAGTGCTTTTAAGGTACAGAAGTTCTGACTGTTTTTTATTTGTTCACGTTATTTTGAAACTCTGAGAAATCATTTAATTGAGTCTGTTATTCTAGGTTAGGTCCAAGGTTGTCAAGGCAGCTATGCAAGGTGCGGCGCCAGCAAACTGCCTTGTCGCCTAGATGACTACATCAATTATTAACTCAAAAGAGTCTAATAAATATTTCCAATGAATGAAACTTTAAGGTTGGTTTGAAACTGCTTTTAAAAAAGCACTTCTTAGCTTTTGGCTTTAAAAAAGCACTTGTTTTCCCAAACACTACAACTTTTATTTTTCTCGGCTTCCGCGTCAAATGTGCTTTTACTTTTTCTATTACACAAAAAGCACTTATTTTACCAAACACTACCCACTTTTACTTTTCAAAATCACTTTTTTCTCAAACACTATCAACTTTTATTTAATCACTTCTCCTCATTTCATTAAAAAAAGCACTTTTTTAAAAGTAGAAGCTGTTAGCAAACAAACCCTTAATATTGGAATATTACATTTTGTTGGAATAAATGTAATAAAGCAAAATGGCTCACTTAACTGTCTGTCTGCGCTTCTTTGTTATGAAGCAGTGGTTAATCCATGCAATTTTAGACGCGATTTTCACTATGGGTTATCCGGAAACATTCTTTTAGTACAGGGTAAGACTGCGTACATCCGGCCCCCCTTACCCCATGACAGGTGGGAGCCTTTGCGGCACTGGGGATAATGATGATGATGATGAATGAAACTACAATATATTAGCAAAAAGTAGTAATGTGATTCTGTGAATATGTTTAAAGAAACGGAAAAAAAATCATAAAGAAAAAAGTTAACCACAATGATAAATAAAGAAATGAAAATTTTAACCCTAGGTGTACATATGAATGTCTAATTGAAGCCTTTTTTTAACCTAGTAGGTAAACCACCAAAATTAGTGGGGTAAATGCCGGGAAACATTTGCCGATTTTTATTAATAAAAAAGATTACAAAAAGAGAGAGGGGCCAAACCAGAACCTCTCCAGAAGAGGGATAACTCTTCAAAATACATGAAGAAAAAGTAAATGAGATAAAATGGGGAGGCTGGACCTGCCCAATTTAAAAGAAAAATTACAAATATCTAGTGAGGGAAACTTCATTCCTAGTTGACGCCCAAGTGATGTCATTCAATATATGGCTCTCTTCCTGCGACATTGTACTCCTCTGCCGGGATGCCTAAGCATCACCTAGATCTGTCTCTGCAGATACTGTTGTTTTGAATGAGGTTTTGTATTCAATTGCATAGTTTGTTCAGGTACTTGTTTCTTCCCCCCACCTTATCTCTTCTTTTGAATCAAGGCGCTATAAAACCCCCTTGAAATTTCCCTGGTCGTGTCCTAATCATATTTTGACACTCGAGTAACTAGATAGATGTGTAGGGCGAATGGATATCTATTTATTTTTAATAAATATACTACCTCTGTCCCAAAATGAAGTTCTCATTCACTATTCACTTGGTCAACTTAAATCATTCTTAATCCGTTGCTTTATATATCAATTTTTTTAATCAAATTTAAATTTTCTTGACCAGGCTTTGTAAATTTTTTAATGTAGTATCTGAATATGTAAATTTTATTTACTAAATGTAATTTGAGTGTGAACAGGGATCAATTTGCTTTATTGTTAGTCAAACATCGTAAACCGAAACGAGAACTTCTTTATGGGACGGAGGGAGTAATTTTTTGAAAAACTGCATCAGGTCATCCACAGGAGTTTCAATTGTTATAAAAAGTCGACACACAAACAAATGCTAAAGTAGGTGCTGGTTTTATATTTGCGTTTTTGTTTGCTTTTCCATATTTATTAGCACGCATTGTGGATTTTTCCATATTTACTAGCATGACAAATATGCATGAAATTTGTGTAATTTCGTGAAAATTCTATGCAAGTGTTTGATTTGATCATACTGTGCACATTAGAACTTCCATTTGCATTCATGAAATCCATATGCAACCTTGAATGGAAGAAATACATGATGGGAACTATTATGATAAGATATTCCATTATTACCATGATATATGCGTAAAAGTGTAAAACATCATAAGCTAAAATTGAAGTGTTTTGGGAACTATTTCTCTTTCTTGCCATGTGCACATGCACATACATCCACACATACAGTACACACACACACTCATACACACGTGTGTAGTGAAACGATCCTTTCAGTCCTTCCTTATGTAAAAAAGGCACCACAGAAACCGTTGATCGTTCTGAGTTGGTTGTTTGGAATAGGATATTTAGCACGATTAACAATTCATCTGATGCCTTCCTGGTTCAAACCGTAGGAAGGATGATCGTTTCCCTATATGTGTACACCTACCAACATACACATATACATATGTATCCTTCCGGAGTTAGCAAACCAATTGTTTTTGCGTGTGCCATGATTCCTCATTAGTCATTACCCGTGCAATTTCTTCAACTAAAGCTTCTTACTTATTCAATTGGTTGAGTAGGTCTTTTTATTTTCTAGCTATGGTTACAAAGGGATTAAGAATTTGGTATCTTTTTATTGTTATTAGGGGCGGATCAAAGATAATATGGATTGCACCAAGTGGTGGAAGAGACAGGCCAGACCGAGTCTCTCAAGAATGGTGCCCTGTAAGATTCATCTTTATGTCTTTCTCATTCACTTTTGTTTCCTTGATCAATCCTGGCTGCAGAAATGCTCATCTTGCTCTTGTGATATCTTTCTATAATGATACTCTCATTATTGATTGAGCATATCCACAATTCACTATAAAAATATTTAGCTCATTGATTGAAGCAGGTTATCTTTTAAAAATTGCATTTATATCTTGATTAAATATGCCTTGTGTGGCTCTTACGCTCTCAGGCAACATTTGATCCTTTGTCAGTGGACAATATGAGAAGGCTTGTAGAACATGCTGTTGTTCCTGGGCACATATATCCGTTAGCAATACTATGTTACAACATTATGCCTCCACCTCTGCAGGTTTGATTTCTTTCTGATATGTGCTGTGATGATTTGAATTTTGTTTCTCAGCAGTACTACTGGTACATACAGTATATTTATATGTATGTCTACAGGTTGAGAAAGATGTTGGGGAGAAACGAGTTATATCTTTTCATGGAGTTGGAATATCTGTGGCCCCCAAAGTTGATTTCCATGTACTTGCTACTGCTACTAAAGACCCAGAGGAGGTTAGTTGCTTTCATATTCAGATTCCAATCATCTATCCAATTTAATGTATGGCCGGCATGGGACTAATAAATTGCTGGGGAGGAGGGGTGTATGGAGAAAAATGGAGAGGTAATTTGGAGGAAAGAGAATGTGGGGGAACATTCAGAATTGCCTCAAACTCAATCACTGTCAGTTTTAGATGTTCCTCCAAATCAATTTTCCTAAGTGTATCCATTTTCATGTAAAGACTAAGAATTTGAAATATATGTGAAAGGGAAAAGTAACTAAAATACGCAAACTTTGGGGATATTTGAAACTATGAATTCAATACGTCAATCTTATGTGTGATTTTGCACCTTCTACATATTTTATTCCTGGGCATTGTCAACATTTTACTATAGGTGATTTGGCACCATATACAGATTTTTTCTTTCACAAATGTATCTTTAGGGTGTTAAATTCTCAATTTAAATGCTCCAAGTATTTGGGAGAGCAATTAGCATCCTACTTCCAAAATATGCATTTATGAAATAAAGAATCTGCACTCATGGGGCTGATCACCTGCAACTTATTATTGAGTTCTATGTTATAACCTCCCGTGCAATTTAGGTATTGTGTTCTAACCTGCAGAGTGTTTGGAGCATTTAAATTTATTTTCTCTATGCAAAATTTTGAAAAGTTTTAACCAAATTTGATTTTCTTTTGTATTATCCTAGATAAAACCCAATATCATATACCATTTTCTGTGTTACAAACATAGCCATAAACAAAGTATTACACAGTGTGACCTTTGATCAATTCAAGCCAGGAGATTCTAAGTCGGTACATGATGCAGTTATGCAATACTAGTTAGGCACATGAAGGAGTTGAAGTAGCTTGAAAATTCAGTCCCCCAACCAGCTGTTTTGAGACTGCATTGGTTATTGGCATTAACAATGACAGGCTAAAAGTGGAACAAACTTGACAAACTGTAATATGTGATTTCAAGTTATAAACTCTGGCAGTGTCAATTTATAAGATAATTAGAAACAAGTAGTAGCGGTTCTGAATACACTGATTCTGAAGTACGCTCTAATTTATTCATATACAGGCGAAGATGGCATACTCCGATGCCCTTTATGATTCAGTGAACCAGCAATACAATGTCTTGAAATCGGCCATTCATGGAAAACAAGGGCTGGAAGCATCTACGTCTACTGTGTCGTTATCGCAACCTTGGCTATAGTAGTATAGCAACCCCAAAGCTTTTTCTTTTACCCTGTCATGGACCCATGGTAATGTTACAGTAGTCTGTGCATCATTTCTTTTGACAAGACTGTACAGTTGGTTCAACTTAATCCTATAGATATATAGAAGAAAGGTGTCAACGTCTCTAGGGAGTGCTTTCACCACTTCCAGTCTTCCAGGCACTTTGTTCTCAGCTCATTTCTTTTTCCTTTAGATGTGCTGCGCCCTTGTACAACTGCTTAGCAAAATAGAAAGTGGAAGTTATGTCAGATGCTCTGTTCAAATTTTGTGTTGTAGCTGTAAAAAGTATGTTGGTGGCAATTACATTTCATCGGGTTGTTCTTCCTTTAAAGGCGTGCGTGTAGAAATTTTAGTTTTGTTCTTCCTTTCATCGGGTTGTTCTTCCTTTGTAGTTGTAAAAAGGTTACATACACCCTGATGGCAATTAAGTGCATCATATAGTTGCTATGTTTAATCTCTTGTTGCTATGTTTCTCGGTGGTCATGAGAAACTAATCTCAAATTTGCATCTTTTTTCTTCATATTGAAAAATATGTTAAAGGGTCAAATAAGCCCTTGAACTAACTTAAAGTGTTCAATTAGCCCCTTATATAGGAGGTTTTGCCCGGCCGTCGCTAATTGGGGTGGTTCCTGGTGGAATTTTTTAATGAAATTTTTTGAGCATCTTCTTCATTAAGTATAGTTTACTCATACCAAATTTTAGCTAAATATTCAACCGGGAAGGCAGTCAAATGATTTTCCGCAATGTAATGCGCTGTTTAACTTTGCAGTTATCTTCAAAAAATCATTTGACTGCCTTCCCGGTTGATTTTTTAGCTGAAATTTGGTATGAGTAAACTAGACTTAATGAAGAAGATACTCAAAAAATTTCATCAAAAAATTCCACCGGAAACTGCCCCAATTGGCGACGGCCGGGCAGAACCTCTTATATAAGAGCTAATTAAACACTTTAAGTCAGTTCAAGGGCCTATTTGACCCTTTAGCCTTTTCAATATGATACATTATCTGCTGCAGTTAGTCTTTTTAGCAACTGAGAGACAGAGAATAATATCTGTGAATAGGGGTGGACTCGGGCCCCGGCCGGGCCTAGGCCCGGTCGGGCCGGCGGTTCTGGAATGGGGGCCTGGAACCGGCCCGGGTAATCCCCAGGTCCGGGCCGGGCCTCGGGCCTTTGTTATTTTTTTTTTCCTTTTCCTAGTTAATCCCCAATTCCCCCCCCCCCCCCATCCCCAAACCACCCCAAACGGCCAAAATTACCCGGCCCAACTCGAAAACTAAAAAAAATAATTAAAAAGGCCCAGAACCGGCCGGGCCGGTTCATGATTTGGGGGGCCCGAGCCCGGACCGGAACCCCCACGGGTCGGGCCTACCCGGACCGGTCACTGATTGGGCCACCGGGCCGGGCCGGGCTGGAACAGTGCCGGTTCCGGGTCGGGCCACCCGGCCCGAGTCTAGGCCTATCTGTGAATCTGTGATACGTTGGCGGACTCCTCAGCTGATCAAACTATAGTGAAAAGTGTTGAGCTATTCACTTGTGCAAGTTTTAACAATAAACATGTTTATAGAAATACAAAATTCTAATATTTCTTATCTGATCATACACTGTAATCAAGGGTGTGAGCTAGGCATGGACCCATGCCCAGTTCCTTTTTTCGAAGCCCATAACCTACCCGGGCATTATTGCTCATAGCCCCCCCTCCTCCCCAGTCTGGTCCCAGCTACCGACAGGTTCGGATTTGGTTCTAGCTACCGACTCGGTCCCGGTAGGGATGGATCGGTTCCGGGCCGACCGGCCCGGCATTGTTTGGAGCTGGTCCGGCCCGGCAACCGGGCCCTGTACCGGTTCGGGCTGGCCCGAACCGGGTGTTACTAAGAGCGGGCTCGGGTCATGGAAAATATGAACCGGCTCGGCCGGGCCCAGTTCAGGCTTTTTTTTCATTTTTTTTTGTTTTTCCCGGGTTGGGATGGATGTTGGGGGGGGGGGGGGGGGGTGAGAGTAGGGGTGGGAAAAAATTCCGAAATTTCGGTATACCGGACTTACCATATCGAAAAATACCGAATTTACCGAAAACATACCGAATTAACTTCGGTATGATATCGGTATATATTTTGGAAATAAGCGGTATACCGGTATACCGTCATACCGTAATTCCAAGCCAATAATTTCCTTAAAATTATAAAAATAACTAGAAACACAACACTAATTCAAGGATAAATGACTTTATATCCATATTTCTTGAATTATTTGTACTTTTTGTTGGAGATCAGTGTTATTTTAATTATATTTATGTTGTTTAAATTATTTTAGCAAAATGTGTTGTTATCTTCATATATCGTGTGTTGAAATATATATACATACTTCGTATTTATAATATTTTTTGTTCAAAGTTGAATAGAGCACAAATAGGTTATCTCATTGGTATTTTATAATTAATTTCATTAATGATTTTAGCATATCACTGTTAACACTGATTTTCTTTATTTCATTTGACATATAATAATTTGTTATATTAAATCATGATAATTTACCGATACCGTACCTTACCGTACCGAAATTTCGGTATACCGAAACAAGGTATACCGAAATTTCGGTATGGTAACGGTATGTATTTTTGCATACCAAAAGTTTACGGTATGGTAAAGGTATGTGACAAAATATTCGTTATACCGTACCGAACCACCCCTAGGTGAGAGGAGGGGGGTTAATTGGAAAAGCAAATAAAAAAATTGAATCGGCCCGAGACCGGTCTGGACCCGGTGGAATCTCGGACCAGTTCCGGGCCTCCCCCCCCCCCAAAGCCCGGTTTGGATCGGCCCGGAGCCCGGCCCGGAACCGGTCCATCCCTAGGTCCCAGTCTCCTGGACATGTTCTGGCTTATATGTATATCTTAATCCTCTGTGCCCTTTTAAATGTCCCGGAGGAGGGTGACACGAGTTTTAAGAAAAGTGGGTTTGTGTGGTTGATATTAATTGATAAAGTAAGAATAAAGTAAGAATAATTTTGAGACACACAAACTTTACCAAATAAGGTATGATACATTTAAATAGGGACATCCCAATATGGTAAGAGCATCTCCAATGGTAGAATGTGCACGGTGCACATGTGGCATGAGACAACCACATAAATATTAGCAAATAAATTATTTCTCTCCTTATTTGAATGACTTTATACAATTTTGGTATGTTTTGTCCTGCAATGTCAACTGCAATGTCAACATTTAGACGTTCTCCTTGACATTGTGGAGAAAAACTTACCAAAACTGTATAAAATCATTCAAATAAGGAGAGAAAGAATTAATTTATTAATATTTACGTGGCTATCTCCCATGCCACATGTGCACTGTGCACCGTGCACATTAGTAAAACGGGTCATTTAAAAGGGGACGGAGGGAGTAGTTTTTGTTTGGAAAAATAAATGAACTTGTACAATTATAAAAGAAACTATTGCATAAATTTCAACTATAAAAATCTCCTACTCTTCGGACCTGCTTCCGGCGTTGGTTGTTATTTTCTCCATAAAGAGATAAAGTGGTGGTGGGGTGGTGTTATGTTTGGTTCTTGAATTCGTTAGCGGGCTTTCAACAATGGTAAGAACATACAAGCGTCTCAAGAGATTGAGCGCTCAACCTTATTCTGTAATGTGACTAAAATAAAAACGTAATAAGGATGTTTTTTTGGATTGAAATTTGCTAGTTTGGTCTAGTCTGTTTAAATTTGATTTGTTTAAGTTTGGTCTGATCTGGTTTGGTCTAAAATGGTATGGTTTGATAAATGTCTGGTTTCTATATATTTTATAATTGTCCAAGTTTGGTCTGATTTGTTTAAATCTGACTGGTCTGTTTAAGTCTGATCTGGAACTGAAAACAGTCCAAATGAAAACATCCTAAATATCATGATGTAAATAATATTAAGATGTAACAAATATTAAGATGTGAGTAATATGAAAATGTGGCTAATATTAAAGTGTAACTAATATGATAATGTAACTAATATGTAGTATTAAAATGTACTCCCTCCTCCCTCCGACCCTAGTTCCCACTTTCCTTTTTAGGTTGTCCCAAAAAATTGTTCTCATTTCCCTTTTTGGAAAGTTTTGCGTTTCTACCATTCTTTTATATTTTTCTTACTTAATCACAACAATACATTTCCATTTTATTCGCAATTTCTTAAACTCCGATCCAAGTCAAATCGGAAACTATTTTGCGGGATGGAGAGAGTAACTAATATGATAATGTGGCTAACCGGGGGACTGGGTACCCCTGTTACCCAGCCTTGACCCGGGATCGGGAAAACGGGCCTGGTCCGATAAGAAAAAATACTGGACACGGTTCCGCATTGGGCTGGACCGCCAGACCGGGTCCATGTCTAGTGTGAGCCCTTCTCTATAGGGGTGAACTCGTCTGGTTTGGTAGCATCATGGTATTGTCATACTCTCGTGAAAGTGAACACATTTTCACATTTCATGTGCATTTAGCTATTGGTTGCATTATGGTATTGTCACACTTTGCTGAAAGTGAACACAGTTTCACATTTCAGGTGCATTTAGTTTCATATTTCTATGTTAGAGAAATAGATCAAGTTAAGAGTTTAAAAATAGCTCTAAATAAAAATGAGCTGCTGAGCAAATGAATCAACACACACCCCCGGCCCCTCCCCCCTGCTTCTCAACTTTGTACGCTCCACCTATTAGACCATTAAATGTTTGGTGTACACAAACAAAATGTATACACCTTTTGTATACACATAACTTTTCTGCGAAGGGCAGACAAGTATACACAAAAGTGTACACATTTTGTGTACACCTAGCAAAACTGGTGTACACAAACAAAATGTATACACCTTTTGTGTACACATAACTTTTCTGCGAAGGGCAGACAAATATACACAAAAGTGTACACATTTTGTGTACACCTAGCAAAACTCCCCACATGAATCTTCTTCCGATGCACCTACTTACAGTTCCTCTCAAAATGACAAGTCAATCAACCTAGAACCAAGGTATTATAATTATAGGTAAGAAGGATACAATGAAATCCATACAAAACTCCAAAGGGAAAATAAACTATTTATGTCATAGCTCACAAAAAAGTTCTAAAAGCTTTAGTTTTTTCTCAAATACGATACATATCTCCAATCAGGGGAAAGAGCTAGGGGATTAGTGAGTGATAAAAATACATTTGAAAATTATAATACTAACTTAATTGATAATGTTATGAACGCCCTTATTTATTCACATGTTGAATATAAACGCTATAACCACTATTAAAAAACATGGAATTAGCAGGGTTTAGGTAGGGATTTGAAAAAAAAATATTATGAAGTTTTTGGCAGGGAACTGCCAAATCCGTGACAAAAACATTTTGGCATGAGCTATTTGTCATGAAATCATATATTAAGTCCACATTTTTTAGATGACTAGCTCTGCACTTTGTGGCATTTGTTTAGAAGTAATTTATTGTTTTATTATATTAT